TGCAATAAAAAATTAAAAATAAAAACTTATACTTTAGTAACATCATTGTAGGTCCAAAAGAAATGACACCACAAGTAGGCAACGGATTTTGTGGCGGACACAAATGTTAATGAAAAAAATAGGATGTTGATAAACATCAAATGATTTTCCCATATTCCAATCAAATATAAATAAAAAGAACGTTTCTCACGTGCTTTATGAATAAAAATATTTTTTAATAATGCAATCTCAATATCCAATAAAAAACAAGCTTAATTTGGATATCAACTTAAAAAAAAATGTCCGATTAAATATAAATCCACGTCTGAAAATTCTTAGCCACTTACTATCACGAGAAAACGACAAATTAATTAGAATAGTATAATAATACAATTGGATAAAGATTTATGTATGTAGTTTAGGAAATGTCGACGGCCGGCGCGATATGTATTTAAAAGAGATAATAATGGCGTATTGCATGTTTGATAATGTTTTTAGTTCTTTATAAATTGATTAAATATCATTTCTAATCATATATTCTTCGGGCTCAAGATTAAAATCAATTTTTTAACGAACATTTTTTGGACCAACTAGCAGCATAAACTGTAGATTCGACATGACATTTTCAACAATAAAAACTTCACGTTCAACCCAAATAATTTTAAATTGCTGCATCACTTGTTTTTCACCATTAGTAAACTATAAAAAGTCGCAACAAAGGTGAAACATGAGGCCATATTGTAGGATTTTGTCGAATTAACGAGTGTTGGTCAATTTTAAGGTTTAACTACTGTTAAGTCGAATGTAGCTTTAATCACCCCATTGTAAATTACGTAACACTATTTCACTTTCAATCATGCTACGCGTATATTGTCCTTTACATTATTTTTTACTTTGTGTCACGTGACAACACACTATTTGTCAGTTTCAAAAATATATAGTTTTTTTATACTAATCAAATTTTGTCTACAATGATGACGTCTGTTAGGTCTAATGTTGTAATTGACATGTTTGTGAACAAAAATGTCTTAATTGAACACTTGTAAAAAGTCAAGATCTTGGATGCAATTTTGTATAGATGAATTAAGTTAATGTTAGAGGCAACAAAAGAGGAAAACACGGCACCGAAATTTCGCTAGACTGTCGCTAAGGTTTGGCTCGAGTGTCAGAAAACTGTCGGAAATAGAAACATTATCGCTTGCCTTTCGCCTCGCTGTCGCTCGAGCGGCGTTTTTATGCGGCCGACCTAATTTGCGCTTTTGAAGAGTTTTACACGGCCCATAACACTAAATCATCCCCAACTATAAATACAGATGTCTAGGACGAATTCTTGTGATTGCTTCATTGTACTTACATTACATAACACATTCACATTATCTTTTGAGAGATCCAAGAACACAATTCCTTGGTAAATCATTCATATCATTCTCGAGATCCGACAACCAATTTTTAGGAAAATATCAAGGTTCGTGAATCCAAAATACCTGACTTCCTTAACACTTTGAGGAATGAACTTTCTCAGTTGAACTTCAGAAATTTCTGGAGGTTGAGAGAGGTTTGACTACAAGTGCAGGAAGAAGAACATGAATATGTGATTCCTTGGTATCCACTTGGAAGAGACAATTGCAGAAGATTGCGAGTCTGGAATTTACAGCAGATCTTGGAAGTTACAAGAGGTGGATCAGGAGATTTAGCAGGTTAGTTAGACAGTATCTACGGTAGCAGATCGTGAGTCTGGAGGAACAGCAGATCTTGGAGATTACAGAAATTATAACAGCGGGAACTAGTGGGAGTTGCTACGCTGGAAACGAACTGTAACTCACATTGTCTATAGTAGAGGTAATTGGCTTGGTCCCGGAGTTTTTACCCAGTTGGGTTTCTCTGTCATCATATCGGTGTTCATTATTTATTACTTTCCATATTATGAATTGTGGTATTCAAACATATGATAATTGAATTGTATGCTTAATCATCTAGAAACTATTAAAAAGTGACTTGTTGCTTTTAATAGATTAATTCCGCACGTAAGGTCAAACTTAGTTAGTAAACTACGTTCTTTCAATATCAAACATAATGTACAAATAAGATATACATGTAGCATTATTCTTTCACTTTAGCCACTAATAGATCAAAACGTTCTTTAAGAATCGATTTGACTTCTTTTATTGAACTTCATCAGCACTTTGTGAAATTAATTCATATGTATGAATGTTTCTATAAGGGCAGGAACACACGATATTAAGTTGAGAAACAAAGACAAAATAATCTTTTCAAAAAATAATATGCAGAAAATTAAAGAAAACAAAAGCGATTTCTTTAGGCCTAAACCCCGGCGGTTTTACGACTGCTTTTAATGCCTACATCCCCCGTTGAGCATCCAATATATTAGATTTATACTCGGTTCCACTATATAGCCCAAAATGGCAACAAATGTTACAAAAATGTTCAGCCAAATCACAAAGTACAGAACATAACACTTATCTCTCTAAATACAACAATTGATCCACAAGATTCACAAAGAATCTCTTCAAAACCTTCGAAACAGCAACTTGAAAGAACACAAACTTTCTTACAAATATTTACTCAAAATATCACAACATATAGGCTAAATATTACAGATCGACTATCTCAAATCTAGAATTTGAGAGAAGAAACAGAAGAAGAACTAAAACCAGAGAAACCCCTTCAAACTAGTATCACACTTAGCTTTATTATATGCTAAAGCATTACTCTCATCATCAAACTTCTTTTCTTTTGAATAATTTTTCTTCTTAAATCAATCTTTAGCAAAATGATCCAACTTATCACAATAATAACACTTCTTATCTTCAGCCTTATTTTTGGACTTATACTTATCACTCAATCTGTTTTTATTCTCAATAAAAAACTTAGAATGATAATTTGATTTTCCAAAACCTTTCCCTTTTACTAACAAATTGTCTCTATTTTGACAATTACTAGAATCAACTTTCATCTCTAAGGCCTTATTTCTTAAAGAATTTATTACCACATCAGTAGTAAGTTCTTCCCTGCCATGCTCTAGAGTAACCTTGATGTCTTTATATTTCTTACTAATGGAGTTTAACAAGACTATAACCATAAGATATTTTGAAAGTTTTTCATTACAATTGGTCAAGACTTGGGTAAGTTTTGTAAATATGTTTAAATTTTCATCCAAATAATTGAGGGGTCCATTTTGAAAAAAAAAAGAATTGTTTTAATAAGAAACACTTATTTTGAGTAGTTTTGTCACATATTTTGCATGTAGTTTGGTCCACAATTCAGAAACAGTTTTTGTTTCACCAATACTTCTTATCACATTTTCAGATAAGTATAAGAAAATAATATTTCATGCAACTTCTTCAAGTTCAATTTTCTGTACAAGAAGTAAATCAGCAGGCCAGTTATCATTTAAAGCCATAACACATCTTATTTGCATTAAAATAACTTTCATTTTTTAACTCCACATATTGAAATCAATTTTTCCATCAAATTGACTAACTTCAAACTTAACAAAAGCCATGTTATAGTCAAGTATGATTCACAGATTGAAGACATCTTTCACAAATTCGCAAAGAACAACAAGAATACAGAATGATAACTCTAAAAAATCCCAATAATATACTTAGTAAAACAAGAATTTTCAAATTTTAAGCACTTGCAAAAAATATACTGATCAATACTCAAAAGAAAACACGATAACAGAAATCACATGACTATATTTCACTGATTCCTCCTGCAAGATCCTCCAAGTACACACTAATACTTGATTTATCGTGGATTCCCAAGGTCTCGTAGGAGCCTTTGGACAAAGATTAATTTCAAGAGGTTTTAATGTGTACGGTTAATCAAGGGAAAAATCAAGAAACCCTAAAATTTGAAAGATGAACTTTACAAAAGTTTAGAAAGATCTCACCCAACGAGTTTAAAAACTATTTTTCTTGCAATTTTGCTTGACAACAATTCCAAAGATTTAGATCTGTTACAGATCAACTGATTTCTCTAAGATCCAGGTATATTTCTTTTCAGTATTGGCTCTGATATTACTGTAAGACTAGGAACAGACGATATTAAGTTGAGAAATAAAGATAAAATGACCTTTTAAGAAAATAATGTTCAGAAAATTAAAGAAAACACATGCGATTTCTTTCGGCCTAAAACCCTAGAGGTTCAGCGACTGTTTCTAACGCCTACATTCCCCTTTGAACATCCAATAGATTGGATTTATGCTCGGTTCTACTATATACCCCAAAATGACAACAAATATTACAAAAATATTCAACCAAAATACAGAGTACAGAATTTAACACTTATCTATCTAAATACAATAATTGATCCACAAGATTAACAAAAATCTCTTCAAAACCTCTGAAACAACAACTTGAATTACAGATATTCACTCCGAATATTACAACAAAGATGCTAAATATTACAGATTAACTATTTCAAATCAAGAATTTGAGAGAAGAAATAGAAGAGATAACCAAAACCAAAGAATCCCTTCAAACGACGTAAACAGAGAGAATAATGAAATCCTAGAAGTCGAATGCCTAAAGAAAAGACATAAATTAATAGAAGTCTCCAGAAGAGATCCAACGACACAGATTCAAACACGAGTCTCAATTCGATTAAAGATGCATTTTTAATAAAATTGTAACACCCAAAACACGATTTCAATACAAATTATGGGAGCAACAATCGTACCAGGGTTTAAATCCCACGGTTTCCACATACACCACGTCACCATTCCTCATTTCCACAATTCAAATTTAACTTTTTCTATTAACCACGTGATTCTATACAAGTTGCTCCACTTGCCAATTTCGAATTTCCCAGTGCATGAACCTTCTTTCCATTTTTCTGTCTCATCGCCCCTATATATATACTCCACCCCACCTTTACCTTCCAAAATTCACAACTTTTTTGCCTCTAAATTCCAAGAAAATTCAAGATATTAAAAACCCTTAATTGATATTGCGCAAAAAATCATGTACAACCCAGTTTTGAGTGAGTTAACGCCGATGAATTTTCCGGTGGAGTTTCAGACGGTGTATTGCCGGAGCTCGAGCTTCAGCAATCTCATGCCGTGTTTAACAGAAACGTGGGGTGACTTGCCGTTAAAGGTTGATGACGCTGAAGACATGGTTATTTATGGGCTGTTGCGCGACGCCGTTAATGATGGATGGACGCCGTTTAACGAAATTAAGTCGGAGCCGAGGTTTGAGGTTGGGGAGGAGATAAGCGTAGCTGAAGTGAGGTCGGAATACTTGGCTGCTCCGCCAGTGATGGTGGACAAAGTTGCGCCAGAGGTGGCGCGGCCGAAGGGGAAGCATTATAGGGGTGTGAGGCAAAGACCGTGGGGGAAGTTCGCGGCGGAAATAAGGGACCCGGCCAAAAACGGCGCGAGAGTGTGGCTTGGAACATATGAGACGGCTGAGGAAGCGGCTTTGGCTTATGATAGAGCAGCTTATAGGATGCGTGGCTCAAAGGCCTTGTTGAATTTTCCACACAAAATCGGCTCAAATGAGCCGGATCCTATTAAAGTGACAGCTAAGCGGCGTTCACCCGAGCACGCTTCTTCTTCAGTTTCGACAATATCATCGGTTTCGGAGAGTGGCTCACCCAAGCGGAGGAAGAAAGGAGTGTCGGTCGAGCTAGCCGAATCAGAAGTCGAGAGCAGAATCAATTTGTAGATGCCACTTAGGCAGATAATTCATTAAAATCAGATTTTTAATAAATTTGATAAAAGTTGATGAAATGTGTGATTGAAAAGTTGTGTGTCCGAAATGAGTGTTTAAAATTAATTATTGATTTTGATTTAAGATTTTAATTGAGTTTTATTCCCAACCAAACGGTGGCTTAGTTCGATTAGAGATATGGCTTGTTTGGTTGTAACGTGTGAATTGTGCATATTGAGCTGGAAATTTGAGTAACTTTGTGTCTAGTCTAGCTAATGCAAATAGTGCGTGTAAAATGTGTGTTTGGCCCTTATTTTTTTTTAAAAAAAAGTTGATTATTTGTTGGTTTGATCGAAAAAAGATTCTTTATAGACTTTTCAAGATAAAAATTCTCATAGTTGAAAACGAAATTTCTAATTCTTGTAATTGGCCCACCAATATCCAATCAAGCTTTGTAATAAAATAAAAATGGAAGTTTGATTATGCATAAGCTCACAATGCCATAGGACAATCAATCAATTTAAAATTGTTAGTGTAGTGTGAGTTGTACAATTTGACAAACTCAAATATCGAAAAATAAATTATTTTAAAATAAAGGGCATATTTCTTTTTGGAAAATGTTTAGTGTACCCATAGAGGTGTCCATTATAGACCCTCAATTAGGGGGACGTCTGTCGGCAACAGATACCCTCCAATAGGTGTCCATTATGGACACCCCTATAGGTATATTTACGTACTCATAGAGCAACTCTTTCTTTTTTGAACAAAATAGGTTATTAAAATATAGGATATATTAAAATAATATGAGAAAAATTGCACCAATAATGTCCAACCTATTAGCGTTATCTAAAAGAATATTAAAGTTTCATTTTAACTGAAAATAAGACGAAAAGAAAAGGCGAGATTGGGACATAATTAAGTTGAGATTTTTCTTCGTCTTTTTTATTTCTATTTATTCTCTCTCTTTTTAAAGAAAAATAAAAAAATTCTACTTAGAATATGCGATTGATAGGTATTGTTGAAAGATAAATGGAATCTTCCATAATTTTCGAGATACCCTTTCATTTTTAGTTAATTACATTATAATTTTAATCAGGGGCGGACCCACATGAGGCCCGTGTGGGCCGTCGCCCCCACTCAATTTTCTGATTTCTAGATTTTTCTTCAAATTTTTTATGTTTTTTGTGTTCAGATTTTTTTAGGTTTTCAGAATTTTTTTCCAAGATTTTTGAGTTTCACCCCCACTGAACTTCCTTCCTTGGTCCGCCTATGATGTTAATTGAATAATTATTATAATTATTCATAATAGTACAAGTAAGTTCATTTTCTGTATAATTCATAAATAGAAGAGTGATATAACTATTCACAATCTTCAATATTTTTGTCTTAATTATAAAGGTTGAACCCCACCCTTGAGGGCCCCCACCGACCCTGCCCTGGATCATTGTGGAGGAGGTAAATCGCAGGATGTGCCTCCCAGGAGCCAGGGTGGAGAGCTGCTGGATAGGCCTGGGCTATTAATCCTGTGGTAACTCCCGCTTGCAACAACCTATGAGGGCATTAATGGACTTCGGTCATGTGGCAAGAGTTGAGGTACCCAAACATTATTAGGCAGGTTTCGATACAACTTCTAAAGTTCTATATGTAGGTTATTATCGATATCTTTTGTTTAGATGTCGAGTACTCTGCTTAGTTTATGCTACAAATAAATTCATCTTTCATGTTGTGAATTCATTAGGCTTGAATTATTGAGAGTTTGTATTTGGTTTTACTTTTTGAATACATAATATTGCAATAGACATTTTTGTTATCCCACGAACAACATTTCTAATAATTATGAAATTAAAATATTTTGCTTAAGTAAATGGTAAAACATAAAAAGGAAAATTTTGCCAAATTATTTTTCCTTTCCCAAGTTTCACTCTTCTACCAACTAAATGAGACTTAAACGCAGGTCAACGACCTAGTAAGGTTTCACTCTTACCTCTTACACTAGGTCTTGATCTTAATCATTCTTTCCTCGATAACTATTACTTTCCCGAAGTGGAATTTTAAATAGGAGGCAATTATTTCTCTTTATGAAACTTTCCTTGTAATTTTTCTGTGTCTTATTTCATCATACAACAACAAAGCAATGCAAATACACACCCTAACACTACAAATTATACAACATAGGTGTTACGGGTCGGTGTCAGACCCTTCACCTCACCCTCCACGTGTCAGAGGGGGTGGCCCACTCGATGACACGGTGGTCGAGGCGAATACTCAAAGGCTAACTGTAGAGACCGAAGTGATTGCTTGAAAGACAAACTGAATAGGCGCCAGCAGACGAACCGGACCCATCCGCAAGTACGCAGCGGATGCAAAAGCCCGCACTCCACTTCTACAACGTTGCAACGCCTCACCTGCCTCGCCTCGCCGTCAAAGATCTTTCCAAAGTCAAATCCCTAACTGATGGTACGTGTGACAGGTCCCCAAACGGTCAAATCAGCAGCCTTCGTCGGAGACATTCAATATCGGCCTATAGAGGGACAGATTGACACCTAGGATGGGACGAGCCTTGAGGATCTGACAACACGTGTGTCCTCATTCAATGGCTCTCCTCTTTACATCCTTAGTATAAATATCCCCTCCTTGTGCCAAAAGAAGGATTGAAATCTCATATATTCTCCCC